TTCATGGTCTGATGCCTGACCAAGCACCATCCTCCAAACACACACCTCCCTAGCCACTTTCTGTATCTCATCCTGCTCACTCTGCTCCAGCCACACTGGCCTTCACCCATTCCATGTTCAGTCTTGCCACTGCCCGCTGCACAAGCTGTTCCCTCTATCTTGAGGGAAGTCTTTGTTGACTCCCTAGTTTAGGTCAGTTTCCCTTTGATAAGCTCTTATAGAACGGAGTTGGTTATCTTTGGAGTACCCTCTACATTTGTAACTATTTATTCACTAAAGGATTTTATTTACTGATGTCTGTGTTCCCCTGCTAAGCCAAAGCCCCATAAAAGGAGGGCCATTCCTGTTTTCATGCACTAATGTATCCACAGGTGTCAGCATTTACCCTCTCTCTGTCCCGAGACCCCTTTAAAACTGCAGTCCCCAATGTCCATGACCCGTTAGGAGCCAGACTCTGTGGGCAAGCCAGCAAAGTTTCCTCTATTTACAGCCACTCCCCATTGCTCACATCACCACATAAGCTCCATCTCCTATCAGATCAGTGGAGGCATTAAATTCTCATAGAAGCACGAACCCTACTGTAAACTGTGCATGCGAGGGATCTAGGTCCCGGCTCCTTATGAGCATCTAATGCCTGATGATCTGAGGTGGAGTGGAGACGTAATGCTAGTGCCGGGGAGCAGCTGCAAATACAGATCATCATTAGCAGAGAGGTCTGCACAATAAATGTAATGCTCTTGCATCATCCCAAAACCATCCCCACCCAACACCCTGGTCTGTGGAAAATTTGTCTTCCATGAAACTGGTCCCTGGTACCAAAAAAGTTGGGGCTCACTGTTTTAAAATTATGAAAAGGAATAAAGTAAAAAGGAGAGGATCAAGATGACAGGATGTGGCCCTAATGTAGTCTGTAGATGTGCAATGTTGTCTCACAGGATTTAGAAAAACATTTAACATCATTTTTATTAAAAAATCAGATATTTTTACACCAAGATTTGAATTTCCAGCTTCTCTTGATAAAAAAAATTGGGCCCACATTCCATTGAACTGTCTAGAGCTGAGCGGTGGTCGACACAGTTATGTGGGACATTTATCTCAAATTCACTTCCTACCCCCAAGCCTGCTTCTCAGATTTCCATTCCTTGCCTAAGGGAAGCTGTTATCCCCAAAGGGTCTCAAGGAGGCTTGGCTTTAAAATCATTGTGCTCTTCAAGGATTGTGGTAGGTGTTTTAAACAAATGCTTGGTGAAAGCATAAATTAGTGACCACAGCCCTTATGAGATAACATGCAGCTATGCCACAGTGCCATATTTAGCTGCAGTGTCACACAAGAACACAAGGTGGGCTGTGCTCTCCGAAATTTTTATAAACACGGCATGGCAGTGATGCTCTGTGCTAAATAGGATGAATTATCCCACCCATGCTTAAGAGATGGCAACTACCAATGACCAACAACAACACACCATGCGTCATCCTGAAGGGCCACAGAGGAAGACATTAGGAATGAAGGAAGCTTCAAGGCAATGGACCCCGCACAGCAGAGGTGGGACCTCAGGGAAGGAACTAAACTCACTGCTGTCTTTGCTGTCATTAGCATGATCCACTCCCCCTGAGTACTGAACTTCAAAGCCGTGGAGCCATGGTCAAGAGTCTTGGCTGGCAATGAGCCTTGAGCTGTCTATACCTCCTTTCTAAATCTAGAGCAGTTGTTCTCAAAGTGTGGAGTCTGCACCAGCAGCATCGCCTGTCAGAACCTGCCAGAAATGCAGATTTCCAGGCCCCACCCAGACCTACTGAACCAGACACTCTAAGGTGGGGCCCAGCAATCTGTGTATGAGCAGACTCTCAGGTGATTCTGAAGCAGTTAAAATGGGAGAACCACTGCTCTGAAGTCTCATTTCCTGTCACTTCCCACAGACAGACCCAGGGAATCCTAATCCCCCAACACACTGGGCTCAACACTCCTGCCTTACTTGAGCCTGAGCCATCCCTCTCTTCCTCCCCTGCTTTGCTCTTATTCTGCCTTCAGTATTCCACTCAAGCACCATCCCTGCTTCTGGGACACTGCATCAGACTCCCCAGGCTGATGCCGCTCCTGTGGCCCTCCCAGCCCCTGACTTAGCTCTCTTATCAAACATCAAATGATGCTTTTAACTGCTGGCTGACACATGTCTTGCTCGCTACAGTGTGAGCTGCTTGGGCCATTTTGGGTTAATCCCCAGTGCCTCGCCAACCGAATTTTTAGTATTTGTTGAACGAAGTAATAAATTACCATCGCTTGGTTGGCAACTTTGAAAAGAATAATAATAGTAGTATCTCTTCCACCTACAGTGCAATTTTATATATATATATCCTAACTTAATTTTATATATATTTCCTAACTATATATAAATACAAAATAATAGATTATATATATAATTTATACAGATTATAAGCCCACTGGCAAGCCTGAATTTCAAAACTATGTTTTGTTGCTTCTGACTATAAAGCCAGTTAGAGTCAGAAAATGCCAAGGAATTCAGCAATCAACAGCAAGGGGCATCCTGGGGGTGGGGCGGGGTGCTGACCAGTGTCTTCTGAGTCTCATCCCCTCTCCAGCTGTGTCTCAGCTGCCAGTGGGGGAGGGCTCCCACGCTGCAGGATGAGGGCATGGTGACCAAGCAGCTCTGAGTGCTTGACACTGGACAAAGTCTACTGTGGTAAATGTCACAGAGCTGGCCTAAGGCGGAGGTGCTACTGGACATTCTTGTGGACACTGCACAGAGACAGCCTGTCATGAGCATCCACCCACAAACTCACAGAGTGTTTTGGATAATTCATGAGTGCAGAATACAAGGTCAATAAATTAATGTCAATTCTCTTTCTATATACTAGCAACAATTGAAAATTTAAAAAGCAATATCCTTTACATTCAGCATCAAAAATATGAAATGCTTAGAGATACATTCGTCAAAAGATGTGCAAGACTTGTGCACTTAAAAACTACAAAACATTGCTCAGAGAAATTTAAAAAGTCTTGAATAAATGGAGAAATTTACTGTGTCCATGGATGAAAAAACTCATGTTTGCTGAGACTGCAGATATTTAGAAGCTTCGATTTGATTTTACCCCTGCCTTGTCTCACTCTCTGATATTTGTCTTTGTATCTTCAGTGTCTAACTCTGTGCCTGGCACAAAGTAATTTAGTATTCACTGAATAAATGAACAAGCAATAAGGATTAAATTTCTTATAGAAAACAGGGAGTATATGAGTAAGTATAGGAAAGGCTCACAACTACCTAGGAGTGCTATAAAAGGCTTTCTTCAAGATGGACTAGGAATTCTATAAGCTGTGATGAGAAGAGGAACATTAGACACAGTAGTCCTGTTTTGAGTGAGTAAAACAGCATTAATCCACTGTAGCTTGGGGGTCATTTTGTGCAAGACAGTGACTGAAACACTTTAGGAATATGGCCCAAGCTCATGTACTGAAGGACTTTCTACTTTGTGCTAAGCAGTTTAGATTTCATTCTTCAAAATCAAGATAGAGGAGAGTGCATTAAATATATTTAAGTAGGGGGATGCACTCATTCAATATTTTAAAATATTTGTTGAATATCTGCTCTGGACCAAGGTTTGTGCTCAATGCTGGGATAACACTGGTAAACACAGGAACTGTCATCTCTGCTTCAGTTTTAAAACTGTAGTAGCCAACTCTGAGAACCATCTTTGTACCAGGCACAGAATCAAATTCTTTATTTGTGTTCTTTACAACAGCTTTATGAGGTGGTTGTTGTTATTAACTTTCCTAAATGTGAATAAGCAGAGTTAAAGAAATAAAGAAATGAGAGTCCCATTTAAACGCAGGCCAAATGATTTAATTTTTTGAGGTAAAATTAACAAAAAATTAAAAGCACACATTTAAAATGTACAGTTCAATGAGTTTTGACAAACGTATACATTTTTTTCACCACCACCAAGATATAAAACATTTCCCTCATCCCAAAAGATTCCTTTGTATCCCTTCCTAACCATTAATCTGCTTTCCAAATTACAGATTAGTCTATTTTAGTTTCTTATAAATAGGATCATAAATTTTGTACTCTTGTGTCTAGCTTCTTTGACTCAGCATGAATTTTTAGTTTCATCCACGCTGTGGCGCCCATCTCTAGTTCATTTTTATTACTGCTAAATTCAGATTTCTAAGAGACTTTAAACAAATAATCACCTAATTAAGCATTTAATTACAACAACATTACGTTAACCTGAGGATAAGTAACAAGCGAAAATATATTACCCTGTTTGTTGACAATTAAATCAATACCTACTTAGGTATGCATTGGGGGACTATAGGGTCAGGATTGAGATTGTTAAAAATAAATGTAAGACCCTTATATCCTCACGTTACGTCTCTAATTTTTTTTTTAATCTGTCCAGGTGATTCCGGAAGTGCTCTTCATTGGCTCTATGCCTACGCTCTACACTTTGTATTAGAAAGGCTCGTAAGGCGCATGTCCCTCTCCTGGCAAGTATCTACTACAGCAGCCTCCACCGGCACCGCCCCCTTCACGCAGGCGGAACAAGCGTGCGCACCTTGGCCAAGGCACCTGCCCTGGCCCGCCCAATCCTGGGTGCCGCGGTGCACGTGACCCCCGCGGCGCCCAGTCCTCCCTCCGTGGGTCCGGCCCCGCCCACTGTCCGCGCACGCCGGGCTTCAGCCGCCCCAGCTCCCGAGCAGCTCCTGAGAAACTCCCAAGGGCCAGACTGCGCCTGCGCAGTGGGCGGAACGAAGGACGCGGCAGCGGCGAAGCTGGGCGGCCCGGCGGGCTGAGCCAGTGGGGCGCAGCGTCGCGGCGGGCCTGAACCGGAACCGGGAAGGCGAGCTTTCCTCCCTCTACTGCCGAAAGTAAACTTCCGCGGCGCTCCCGCATCTTCGCCGCGGCTGCTTGGCCGCCGCAGTCAGTGAGCAGCAGTCCTGCGTCAGGGCCTCGCTCCCTCCCCCCGCGCGGGGCCTCGACGCCATGGACGCGACGGCGCTGGAACGGGACGCCGTGCAGTTCGCCCGCCTGGCGGTGCAGCGCGACCACGAGGGCCGCTACCCTGAGGCTGTGTTTTACTACAAGGTAGGGTCGGGAACCGCCGCTTCGGTCGCAATCGCTCCAGTAGGAGTCCGGCGGGGTCTAGTTGCCGAGGCGACCAGGCCCACTGGCTTTGGTCTTCCCTCGCTCTCCTCCTCCTTCCCCATAACCCTCTTCCACCCCGTCGCGGGGCGGAGACCCGGGCTGCCGAGGCCGGACACATCCCACGTCCACCAGGACTCCTGCGACTGTGGGGAGGCTTAGTTGCAGCTTTGGAGCCACCGCTTCCTCTGGCTGCAGTCTGGGCTGGCAGATGCCCACCGTAGAGCTGCTTAAGGAGCGGTAGTTAGTAGCCATTCTTGTGGTCACTCGGCTCCGGTTTATGGCCACCAGGAAATGGTCTGTGATATATATCAAAATAATGCGTGTTCCTTGAGGAAAATAAAATGGAATAAAAATCATCTCTTATCCTGTCGTTTGATGTACAGTTGTTAGGAATGAGGATACTTTCTGAGAAATGTGTCAGGCGATTTTGTCTTTACGTGAACAACGTAGTGGACTTACACAAACCTAGGTGGTGTAGCCTACTACACACCTAGGCTCTGTGGTATAGCCTATTGCTTTTAGGCTGTATGCTTCTAGTACAGCATGTAACTGTGCTGAATACTGTAGGGAATTTTGACACAGTGGTGTTTGTGTATCTGAGTATATCTAAACATAGGAAAGGTACAGTAAAAATACATATAAAAAATAAAAATGGTACACCTGTATAGGGCACTTGCCATGAATGGAGCTTGCAGGCCTGGAACTTGCCCTGGTGAGTCAGTGAGTGGTGAGTGAATGTGAAGGTCTAGGACGTTACTGTACACTATTGTAGACATTATAAACACCGTACACTTAGGCTACACTAAATGTATTTAAACATTTTTTCTTGCTTCAATAATGAATTCACATTAGCTTACTGTAACTTTTTACTAAATTTTTTAAAATTTTTTGACTTTTATAATAACAATTAGGTTAAAATACATTGTACAGCTGCACAAAAAAATATTTTCTGTCCGTAGTCTAGAAGCCTTTTTCTATTTAAAAAAATGTTTTCCTTTTTAAAAGTTTTTGCTAAAAACTAAGACAAACACATTAGTCTACACAGGGCCAGCATCATCAATATCACTGCCTTCCACCTCCGTATCTTGTTCCACTGGATGGTCTTCAGGAGCAATGACAGGCATGGAGCTGTCATCTCCTGTGAGAACAATGCCTTCTTTTGGAATACCTCCTGAAGGACCTGCCTGAGACTGCTTTACAGTTAACTTTTTTTTATAAGTAGAAGAAGAGTACACTCTAAATAATTAAAAGTATAGTGTAGTAAATGCATAAACCAGTAACATAGTTGTTTATTATCTTCATCAAGTATTATATACTGTACATAATTGCATGTGCCGGACTTTTATACAGCTGGCAGTGCAGTGGGTTTGTTTACACCACAAACATGTAAGTGTTGAACTGTACTGCAGTATCACTAGGCAGTAGGAATTTTTCACTTCCATTATAGTCTTAGGGGACCACCATTGCATATTCCATCTGTCCTTGACTGAAAGGTTGTTATGCGGAGCATAACTATGTATCTTTACAGTTTTTCTATGCGTATGTGTATATACTTCTTTAACAAACTTGGATCGTACTGTTTTTAGTAATAATAGTTTTGCTTAATAGTTCAATATGTGGATGTACCATAATTTATTTACAAACTATTGGGTATTTAGGTTCATTCTGGTTTTTCATCATCATAAGTAATGGTATAATTAGTATCCTTGTAACTAAGGCTTTGCACATTTGCTTCTTATTTCTTTTGGATAAATTAGTGGGGCCAAAATTGCTAAATCAAAGGGTATGGGCTTCCACTGTCCACTCTCTGCTCTCCAATCCTGAGGATTTGCAAATACACCCCTCCCGCTCTAGCCAGTTGTGGTGGTAGCTGTGTCATATCATCACCTTTTCTTTTAGAAAGAATGTCAGACTTTGATAATACTGTACAGTAGTAGTGATTTTTTCCATAAGTATGCACTATCACTAAAGCTCAAAATTAATATTGCCTTTATTTTATGATCTTTAGAGATTTTTGGTGCATTTCAGAATTATTCCTTTTGGACTTTTTTGACAATTTTATAAGCTGATGTTTCTTTAAAAGAAAAATCGTGTGTTTTAGTTTTATGAAATAACTTTGACAAATACTAACAGGTTAAAATAATGCCATATAAAAATAACCTTTGCTAAAGCAAAAGAAACTGCTATGTAATGGCTCTTTTTTTCCTGTAGGTTTACAGGTTTACATACATGGCACTTAGGAAGAACTTTCATCTTTGAGAAATTCAAAAAGTGGTTTATACCTCTAGAAATTAGTTATATAAACTTTGTCAGTTTAGTGTTTTCTGCACTGATACCGTTCTTTAAGCAATTTCTTAACTATTAGTTACTTCGGAATATAAATGAAATGAGTAAAATACAATTGATACCAGCAATTTTAAGAATTAGCTTTATTTTTTAAGCAAAACTATTAATACTTTAATATCAAGAATTACCTGCAAGAAGGGGCAATATATATTGAAGAGGTAATATAATATATTGAACAGGTAATATATATTATATACTTATATATAACATATATATAACATTCAACTTATTGAAGTTAAGAGTAACTCTAACAGTTAATGGTGGTACATATGATACAATATTTAATGTTTACGTGTAAATTTATGTTTTTCTCTCCTGAAATATCTGAATTATGGAATCTGAGGAAGGTATATGTTTTCTACCCCATAGCCTTTAGGCTGAATTTTGACTAGAGTCGAAACTGTACTTTTCTTTCTGATTTTGTTCAGTTCCATAAAACAACTGCTGCTCAAATAACTGGATCTTAAAAAGTGATGCTCTGTAGATGGCTTCTTTGGAAACAGGAGTGAGGCCCCATAAAGTGTACGTTTATGATTTACTGCAGAGAAAGTGCTATTACTTGGACAAACCTCTTTCTGCTTTTCTAGGTGGTAGTATTGGTAACCTTCCAGGAATGGTGATGGGGAGAATGGAAACTCTTCCTCACTAGCTATAGCATAACTGGCTATGGAAGTTATGGAATAACTGGAAGGAGAATCCAGGTTTTCTTAATTAAAATAAGTTTATTTTATGCAACTAAAATCTTCCTTAAAATATGTCACCCCTTGCCAGTATTTTCTGTAGAGAAGAATATTTTTACTGTGAGATGAGATATTTAATCTCTGTAACTTCTTGTAATCTTTTCTTGATATTTAATTGTATTGTAGTGTTTATTATGTTTTAATGTTTTGAAGGCTCAATTCACATTTTCAAGGCATATAATTTTAAGTCTGGTGTAAGGAAAATAGAAAACATGTAAAGCACAACTATTCTAAAGAAATGTTTATAATCAGTCCCTTATACTTGAGTTCATAAGTTTTCAACAATATGTGAAAATTGAGAGCATTGAAAAGTGAAGAAAAGATATTTTTTTCAGTTTTTCATAAAGTATAACTCATTGACTTTATAAAAAATTGCTAATATCTTAAAGACATTCTTATTTTGTCATTCATGGAAACCAGTAGTGAATTAGAAAGTGGTAAGGAAAATTCAGATTGTAATACATCTGTTGGATTCCCTTGAATTCTTTTTTTTATTTTTAGGAAGCTGCACAAGCCTTAATTTATGCTGAAATGGCAGGATCAAGCCTAGAACGTATTCAGGAAAAAATAAATGAGTATCTGGAAAGAGTTCAAGCTTTACATTCAGCAGGTTAGTAAAGGACTATTAACCTTGTCACTGTATTTTTTTCCTTCTCTCTCATCACATCTTTTCTCTCATGTTTCTCCTTTTCATTTTCATCTTTGGATCTTGTTCCTCACTCTGTTGCTGCTCATTCCTCCTTTGGCAATCACCTCTTTAAAAATCATAATATGGAAGTAAGTGATAAATCTATGAAAAGGAACCTTAGGGATAATATAGTCCAATTTCCTAATTCCTTGCAGGTACAGAGATGGTGAATTATCTACAGGCAATTTATCATCGGCAAAATTAGGATTAGGGCCCTGTTAAAGTCTGCTTTTTAAATATCTATTACATATCCCTTCCCGATACTAAAATTAAGTGACTATTCTTAGTCACTTAGTCACTATTATTAGTGTTTAAAGACTTCAGCAGTAGGTTCACAGTTTCTTCTCTGTCAGCATCCTCTACCTCCAGACCTTTGCTAAACTCTTTTTTTAAACCATACCTTGGAAAACAGACATGTAAGAAAATACCTGGAACAACTCATACTTATTTTTGTAAGTAGTGTGGCAAGTGCTATGATAGAAATACACATAGGCCTAATGATTACAGTTTTGTTGGTTAGAGGCAAGTGGTTTCGTGTCAAAATCTGCTGTTCACGTAGATAGAAAATTATCACCATTGATGTTTATTTTAGAAATTTGTTTCTCTAGAGGCTCTTTTTAACCCTCTTTTTCTGTTACTTTTATAATAAAGCCACAAGCAGAGTCCATCTTTACTCCGGTGGACTTTGAGCTACTTTCTACCTCTCATTCTGAATAGATGTGAACAATTATAAGCACATCATTAGGATAAAGCAGATTTGACCATTGGAGTCCTTGTTATGACAATCCCCTTAAAATAAGATAGTTTATATTCAAACAGTGCCCAGAAATTGCATATATTGAAAAGTGGACTATGTTATTGGGGCCTCACAAGATACCAAGTTATGTTGATTCATGTATTCAGAATACAATATATAATTCAAAGGAACTTCATTTTCTCAGGCAAGTAAATGAAGGTCTTAAATTTAACTGCCCAATAACTAGGAACTTTGTTTCATAAATAATGTTTTCAAATAAAATTATCTTTGAAGTGTGGAAAGTAATCTTTCATGCTTACTTCCATGATCTCCCTGTTTTTTCCATAGATATTTTCCTTCATTTCAACAACCATTTATTGAGTGCATGTTTGGGCTATATGGTAAGTACTGGGTGATAGATGAGTGACAGTCCATGCCCACAAGAAGCCTTTAATCATGTGTGGAGAGATAAATGTGTAAACATTGCACTTCATGAAACTCCCCTTCTGAAGCATGCTAGACTTAAATTTTAAAGCAAAGTGCTCTAGAAGGGCAAAATCATATTTTGATATTATTCCAGGAGTAGAAACTCTGGTAGCCAAAGGCGTATTTCCATCTCTCCCTTCTATATGTACACACTCAATCACACTTACGCCATAGGCTGTTACATTTATGCCAACTGGATTACTCTTTAAACCTTTGAAGTCCTTATAACAATTGGGGAAAAAATAAGAATCACGTTATTTTTTTTCTAAAACATTTTTTTTAAATCTTCCTAGTATGTATTAAATATAGCTAAGCCCAAAAAATTACATTTGATTTTAGGGAAATTCTAAACATTAATATTTATAAATGCGATATTTCGGCACAGAATGAGACAACCCTTATCTCTTGAAGAATAAAGACTTTCCGGCTGGGCATGGTGGCTCACGCCTGTAACCTAGCTCTCTGGGAGGCCGAGGTGGGCGGATTGTTTGATCTCAGGAGTTCGAAACCAGCCTGAACAAGAGCGAGACCCCGTCTCTACTAAAAATAGAAAGAAATTAATTGGACAACTAAAAAAATATATAGAAAAATTAGCCGGGCATGGTGGCGCATGCCTGTAGTCCCAGCTACTCGGGAGGCTGAGGCAGGAGGATCGCTTGAGCCCAGGAGTTTGAGGTTGCTGTGAGCTAGGCTGACGCCACGGCATTCACTCTAGCCTGGGCAACAGAGTGAGACTCTGTCTCAAAAAAAATAAATAAATAAAATAAAGACTTTCCAATGAAATAATGGATTTTTAAAGCATAACATACCTTAATTATTTTGCCAAGTTTTGACCCATTTTGTTCTGTAAACGTAGTATGATCTGTAGAGAATTAAATTATTTACTTAATTATTATTTTAAGCAAAAGTGTCCTTTTTCAAATACAAATCCTGTTTAGAACCCTAACTTTTTGTTTTTTTGTTTTTCTGAGACAGGGTCTCTAGTTCCTCAGCTAGAGAGAGACTCATAGCTCACTGCAACCTCAAACTCCTGGCCTCAAAGAATCCTCTTGCCTCAGCCTCCCAAGTAACTAGGGTTACAGGTACACACCACCAGAGTTGGCTTATTTTTTTAATATTTTGTAGAGATAGGAGAAGTCTCACTTTTGCCCAGGCTGGTCTTGAACCCCTGGCGTCAAGTGATCCTCCTGTCTTGTCCTCTCAAAGTGCTAGTATTACGGGCATGAGCCACCATGCCCAGCCTAGAACCCCAATTTTTTAAAACAAGATAGTCTGCTGGCAGTCAAGAGACTTGAGAGAGAAGTTAATTTTGGGGTAGGGAAAGGTAATATAGTTTGAAATTAACCAGTGTAGTATAAAGAGCTCAAGACTTGGAATTGAAAGATTTATGTTGAGACCGACCCTTCCACTTGTAGCTATGAAACCTTAGACTAGATCAGTAATTCTCAAGGAGAGTACTTTTGCCCTATAGGAGACATTTGATAATTTCTGGAGAGATTTTTTGTTTTAACGCTGCGGATAGAGGGGAATGTTCTACTGGCATCTAGTTGGGTAGAGACCAGGGATTTGGCTAAAAATTCTGTAATACATAAGACAGTGCTCCACAACAAAGAATTATCCAGCCCAAAATGTCACTAATGCCGAGGCTGAGAAACCCAGGGCTAGATAATTTTAACATTTTTGAGCTTAGTGTCTTCATTTTGTGAATGGAATTAGTATATATTTCAGAGAGGTGTTAATGAGGATTAAAGTTTAAAAAAACATTAGCACATACCTTTAAGAAACTAACAAAATGTAAAGCTTTTCTTAAATAATACATTTAATGCTACATAATACACATACCATAAAATCCACCTACCATAAAATTCACCCTTTTAAAGTATATAATTCATTGGTTTTTAGTGTATTCCCAGAGTTGAGCAACATCACCACTGTCTAATTTTTAGGATATTTTTATCACCCCGAAAGAAACCCCTTATCCATTCCTCTGACCCCTAGCTGCTACTAATCTACTTTCTGTTTCTATGGATTTCCCTATTCTTAATATTTCATAAACATGGAATCATGCAGTACATGGCCTTTTGCTGGCTGACTTCTTTCACTGGGCTTAGCGTTACAAGATTTATCCATGTTGTAAGATACTTCATTCCTTTTTATGACTGAATAATATTTCACTGTATTGATATGCCAAATTTTTGTTTATCCATTCTTGAGTTGATGGACATTTGGGTTGTTTCCACCTTTTGGCTGTTACGAATAACACTGTTGTAAACATTCGTGTACAGGTTTTTTGTGGACATTTTCAGTTCCCTTGGAATTCCACCCAGGAGTGGAATTATAGGATAATTACGTGTGGGTTATAGGATAGCTTTTTGCAGAACTGCCAAACTTTTCCAAAGTGGCGTAACGTTTTTACTGTTCACCAGTAGTGTATCAGGGTTCCAGTTCCTTTACATCCTCACCAACACTTGTTATTGTCTTATTTTAGCCATCCTCAGAGGTACAAAGTAACATCTCATTATTTTGATTTGAATTTTCTTTTTTTTCTGTTTTTTTGAGACAGAGTCTCACTCTGTTGCCCGGGTTAGGGTGCTGTGGCATCAGCCTAGCTCACAGCAACCTCAAACTCCTGGGCTCAAGCGATCCTTCTGCCTCAGCCTCCTGAGTAGCTGGGACTACAGGCATGTGCCACCATGCCCGGCTAATTTTTTCTATATATTTTTAGTTGTCCAATTAATTTCTTTCTAATTTTAGTAGAGACGGGGTCTCGCTCTTGCTCAGGCTGGTTTCGAACTCCTGAGCTCAAACAATCCACCTGCCTCAGCCTCCCAGAGAGCTAGGATTATAGGCGTGAGCCACCGCGCCGGCCTACTTATTAACTTCTTGAAGAAAAAAGTTATTCTGTCATTATAAATGGAATTAAGTTACTCCTCAGTATGAAATCATGAAGACTGTAAGGTCAACAATAGGTTTTTACATCTTGTTAAAATTTTGACAGCATTGAGGCCAGACACTGTGGCTCACATCTGTAATCCCACCACTTTTGGAGACCGAGGCAGGAGGATCATTTGAGGCCAGGAGTTTGGGACCAGTCTGGGCAACATAGCAAGACCCTGTCTCTACAAAAAATTTAAAAATTAACTGATTTTGGTGGCATACGTAGGTAGTCCCAGCTACTTGGGAGGCTGAGACAGGAGGATCCCTTGAAACCAAGAGTTCAAGGTTGGAGTGAGCTGTCATTGGCCACTGCACTCCAGCAGCCTGGGTGACAGAATGAGAACTTGTCTCAAAAATTTTTTTTGTTGATGGCATTGGGTCACTAAGCAATTATTTTTTAAATTATAAGACCTATTTTTGAACTTTTTTATACCCTAATAACCAAAATTAACTTACTGCAGGAAGAATTCATCACAAATCTATTAGTATAAAATAAACTTACTTTTTTTTCTATTTCATACACTAAAAAGTAAGGTAGTGGTTTGGGAGAGCTTTATCAATTTGCACTGTAAAATCCATATACTAAGTGGCTTTTATTGCTCTCTGAGGAGTCTTGGTTGGGACTCTAGCTTCAAGGGACATCTAACGCATAAGAGAGCAGTGCATTTGACAGGAGGATGAGGTGTAGTAAAGGCTGGTGTTCCCACTGTCTTTCAGTGGGCTGGATTTTTGGTAGGTCTCTTATTCAAAGAAACCACCTAGTCTGATTTCTGTAGGTGACTGAGACAACAGGTATGTGCTGATCTTCTGAGGTTCCTACCCACTCAGCCTTCCATGGCACCATGGTTGAACGGTTGTGGTCTAGTTAGCACTTATTAAGTGGTTTTAAAGTTTACCTCAGTGACAGATTTTCAACACTATTTTAAATGCCTTTAGGGATAAAATGACCATCTTTGTTTATTCTCTCATAATTTCAAGAAGTGTAATATGCATTGTAAATTTTTTTGCTTAGAAATATGTATTAGGCAAATTTAAAAATAATTATGCTGTAGAATGTCTGTCTTTTTCTTTCTCTTAAGTCTTATGAAACTGCCGATAAAACCCTGCAAAACAAACTGAAACAGTTGGCTCGACAGGCACTAGATAGGTGAGTTTTGATCATTCAAGTTCTTATCCATGGATGGCATGTATTGTGTTACTTATTATGTAACAGATTTACCTAAATTTGTGGTAGAGGTCTTAGTAACAAACCTCCATCTTTAACTGAGATCCAGAACAAATCTGCTTTCTTCCTCTCAGTGAATTTACCTTCTATCTGCTTTAACCTCAAGAAGTAACAAATGAATCAAGAGATGTTTTTAGTTTTTACTATTTGTAGAGTAGAAGTAATTATGATATTTGAAATGGAAGACTTCCCTTCTGTTGTATACTACAGACTTCCAAAGAGATCTTCCAGAGAGCCTTCCAAATCTACTGCTAAAAATAGAAAAATTGAGAACGAACTTGCTTATAGCCATACACATGCCCCAAATTGTACCTTCTGTGTAACTCCTTTACCTCTTAGCCCAAATGTCAAGTTTTCAATGAGGCCTGCTCTATTTTGTTTAAAATTAAATTTCCCTAGCACTTTCATCCTGCTTACTCTATTCTAGTGTTCTTTCCCATAGCTCTTAATACTTTCTAAGGTATGTGAGATTTACCAGCTTATTATATTTGTTGTTAAAGTCTGTGTCCCCTCTAACTCCCACCATCCAAATGTAAGCTTTGAAGGCAGAGGATTTTATCTATGTTGTTATTAATAAATGCAGTAACCAAGTACCTAACAGTGCCTAACATATAGTATGTGCTCC